CAAGGACTCATGACTGGTATCGCTCACAATCAGCTCTTAAAGAGAAAGCACAAAGTCTTAAAAAAAAAAAAAAATCTTATGAGAGAGTCTCCCCTCTAGATCCTCTAAAGTTGGAGCTTTGAGTGTGATACTTCATTCTTATCTGTGCTTCTCGGAATAGGGGGAACGCTAACTTTACAGGTGCTCATTTTTTTAAAATGAAACAAAAATAAAACCACCACCACCTTGCAAAGCTGATTTAAAAGCTATGTAATTCTTCCTCATCTGATTTGAGTGTATGAATAAAGTGGAAGGAGAATTCCTAGGCAGAATGTGCTTGTATTTAAGGTACTTGCTCTGCCTAATGTTAAGTTGGCTGCAGTCTCTTCAGTAGGGGCATAGTAATACCAGCTGAGGGAATTATTACATTCTTTGTTATCCTCTTTATAGAAACCTCTTCAAATACATTAAAAGGTTGTTATACAGAGGGTTGGTGTATACGTTGTTCTCCTTAAACAAGAAGTAGTGGGCTTAAATTGAAGCAAGGGAGGTTTAGGTTAGTCATTAGGAAAAACCTCCTACCTGTAAGAGTAGTTAAGCATTGGAACAAATTACTTAGGGAGGTTGTGGAATCTGTCTTTGGAGGTTTCAAGAACAGATTAGACAAACACTTTTCAGGGATGGTCTAGTCCTGCCTCAGTGCTGGTGACTTGACTGGATGACCTACTGAGGTCCCTTCCAGTCCTACGTTTCTGTGAATCTGGGAGCTCATGTTCAGCTGACTATCCACCATGATCCCCAAATCTTTTTCAGAGTCACGGTTTCTCAGGATAGAGTACCCCCTCATGTAATCTTAGATGTATACATTTGAGTTTATCAGTAATAAAACTAAGACAAACCCCCTCCACAGCTGGCTTTCTTAAATGTATTGGATGCAAGTTTGTGCAATATTATTGATGATTCTACCATTTCTATTTAGTAATGGACCAAAACCCTTGTCAGGATTATTTTTGTTCCTAATGTTTTTTAAAAATCCTTCTTATTGTCCTTAACTTTGTCGCAGATGTCTCCTTGTGTCCCTTTGCTTCCCTTATCAACTTCCTACAATTCATATCTTCTGATTTGTATTCACTACTATCAATTTTACCTTTCTTCAATTTAGTGTATATTTTATTATTATTATTATTATTTATTATTTTTATAGCTGCCTTCTCTTCCCTCTAAAAAAAATTATGGCATTTTTTTAAACCAATATGTCCTCCTTCCTCAGTTGTAGGATTGTTGCTTTTTGGGCTTCTAGAAAGTGTTCCTAAACAATTCCCAATTATCTCTAACATTGGAAGAAAAGACATTCAAAGCGCTGCTTCTCTCCGTCCGCTGCTGCGTGGCTGCCCCTGCTCCTCCTGAGTCCTCCGGCCCGTGCTCGCAGGGACGCATTCCAAAAGGGGCTTTAGAGCTGCAGGCCAGGGCCCCAGGGCCCTGCAGCCCCTAAAGCCCCTGCGTTCTGGGTGGCCCTTCCCTGTTCGCTTGCTTACTCCCTCCCTCCCTGAAAGTCCTAAGCACCACCAAACGTCTGTTTGGTGAGAGGAAGCACTGGGAGTGAGGGGAAGGACGTGGAGAAGAGGAACTTGTGCAGTGCTCCCTTGTAAAGTCAGCCAATCGATATTATAAGGGAGCATTGCACAACTTTAAACGAGCAGGTTCCCGAATGGAGCAGCGACGTAACTTCGAAACAACGTTAAGTGGGAGGATGTTAAGTGAGGAGTTACTGTATGGGTAGTAAAGGGGAGGGATAGCTCAGTGGTTTGAGCATTGGCCTACTAAACCCAGAGTTGTGAGTTCAATCCTTGAGGGGGCCATTTAGGGATCTGGGGCAAAAAAACTGTCTAGGGATTGGTCCTGCTTTGAGCAGGGGGTTGGACTAGATGACCTCCTGAGGTCCCTTCCAACCCTGATATTCTATTATTCTTGTCTCTTGTATGTGTAGTGTATCTCATCTTAAGTATGTGGGATTTGAAAGAATGGTGGATGTGGCACTTTTAGTTTCAATGAGAACAATGAGAATGTCACTGTGAACACACATCCTCTAGGTGTTTGATGGAAAAACAATGCAATCTCAGACATATTTCAGAATTGACCTCATCTTGCATCTGTATGTGCTCAGGGTATGTACGGACAAGAACAAGACAACCAAGAATGAAATTAGATGAAGATACAGTAGGGGTCGGCTACCTGTGGCTCGCCAGGGTAAGCACCCTGGCGGGCCGGGCCGGTTTGTTTACCTGTCGCATCGGCAGGTTCGGCCGATTGTGGCTCCCACTGGCTGCGGTTCGCCGTCCCAGGCAAATAGGGGTGGCGGGAAGCAGCGTGGGCGAGCGATTTTTGACTATATTAGTACCTACAAAATTACTTCTGGAACTTTCCTAATATCCTAGGCCCTGCTCCACACAGGTGAACATGTTTGATGTTAATGTGGCACAGCACAAAGGCCCACCCATGTGTCTCTGATCAGAGACTTATTGAGTAAACTGCAAGATGCAATACTAAGGATGAAATTCTGGCCTCACTGAATTCATTGGCAAAACTCCCATTGACTTCAGTGGTCCAAGTTTTCTGTGCAAGAATTCAAGGGAAACTAAGTTGCAATCTCACCAGGCTGATATGTTACAAGTTCATCACAGAAATGATGTACTTAGTTTGTTATATGTATTCCTCTGTTCATCTGATTCATTGTTCATCATTTACATTTGAGTATTCCTTCGCCTGTTATAATGAATGACATTATATAAACAGAAAATAGAGAATTCACACTTTGATAAGGAGGAATACAACCAGAAAAACAACCATCATTTATCATTTCTGTTCAGCTTTCATAAACTTTTCTAACATTGTTTTATTTTCTCCCATTTTATATTGCTGTATTTTTTTTCAAGAGTAGAACAAAGGCATGCAAACATAAGTATTCCACAGTGCAGAGATTGTTAACTTGTACAACAGTCACAACCATCAACATTAGAGTAGAGGAGTGCTTCCCACTTTAAGGTTCTATTCTTTTTTCTTTTCCATTCCATGGTTGGTGTTGCTCAGCATAGGATCATGAACTCCGTGTATGTGTTACAAACATATTGTAAAAATAAGTTTTATTAATAACACCATGAATCAAAGACCTGTTGTTCTACAATCACTTTTTTGCATCTGTGTGAAACCAAATTTTAGTGTATTTTTCTCTATTTCCTCACCTATGCAAATATATTTTCTCCCTTAAAGTTAACTCTCTAACTTATCATGAACATATGGACAGTTGTATTATACTTTTTGCCTCTAAGTGAGATTTCAGTATCCATTGCTTGGTGTTTGCTAGAAGATCTCAGCATAGACATTTTTGGGGAAAGGCATGTCTTTATTTCTTAGTGTCTATGAAAAGAATCTGGCCGAAGTTTAGTTGTGTGTGTGTGTGTGTGTGTGTGTGTGTGTGTGGTTTTTTTTAAGTGGATTAGAGTTGCTGGTTGGCAATTTATCCAACGGTTAACTAATCATAGTAAATAAACTTTATGTAGATGTTCTGATGTCCAGTAAAATCTGTTTAAGAGATTATTCTAGAAAAGGCATGAGATTGAATTGAATATATTTCTAAGATTCCGTCAGTTTTCCCAATCTTTGTCTTGTATCTCTAGTGTCAGTGGGTACATCAAAGAATTAAGCTATTGGTATGTATTGTTGTTGTGGTTAGATGTTTGGCTGCATGTGTGTGTTTCCTCTGTGTGCCACCCCAGCCCTGGGCAAACAGCTGGCATAGCAGACCTCAAGCAAATGGCCCAATAACCACAAGAATCGTTAAGGGACAAAATCACCTAGACAGGTTTATTGTCGACGAAGCACAGTACTAGTATTTCACAGACTTTACCGGACTGCTAATACATGTGTGCTTGTAATAATGAACCAGCTCAGTGAATGGCGGAACTTTCTGTTTCTCCCTAGGCCAACAAAAATACTTCCTCTGAAAAACATCTTTATATCCTGATACAAACAAGTTAGTACTGCCCCCCTAACGTAGTTAATTACTGCCCCCTAATGTGTCTAATTATTGCCCATTACCTTGCACATGTTGGTTTAATTAAAACATTTTTATTGTGTATGGTCATCCTAACCTTACCTTTTAGAGGGGTCAGTGTGTTTCTGTTTTTCCTGGGGAACATTTTTGTACCAACCTTGATATTGGGATGTTCTGGTACCACTTAATATCGGGATGTTTGCCTGAGTTCTCTGTGACTAGCACTTCTTAGAAATGTGTATTTTTGCAATATCAGCCCTGTTCTTGCCAAATTCTGTAAGCAGGTTCTACTTACAGACCTCTGATACAAGGGCTTATGTCTCAGGCTCTTTTCCTACTACAGTTGTACATTTTGTTATTTATTACTAAATATCTTAGTCGTACAATAAAGATGTTTGAATATTAGTTTTTGCTCTCATGCACATAGGCAAATACAAATATGATTTAATCAGGAGTCCGTCTTAATGGTTAGGCGATTATTTGTTAAATGGAAATGGAGTGATTGAGTGAGTGGTATATTCTTTCCATCGTTGATTAACTGTATGTTGGAGAAAAATATCTCTAAGTACAACTCCTATATAATTCTAAAATGTTTAGTTATGTTATAGACTACTTTTCTAATCATGATAACTTGAGAACTTACATTAATAATGAACTTGTCAAAAACTAGCATATTCTGGTTTATTTGATTCAATATGCTTGTTTAACATTATAGAAAAAAATTTTAGAGTCACATAACAATTACTGTAACATTTTATAATAAGCAGTAGTAAAACCTGCACGTGGCTGTTCTATTTTCTTGCTTTTCATAATAGTATACAACATAGTATAAGTACTTCTGTTTTAGTTAATGCTTGAAATGGTATGTGAATTCTATTGTATGCTTGCTTTCTGTTCCAAGCAATAGTGTGTTCTGTTTTGATAACTATAACATATATATATATTTTTTTTTATTGCTTGCCCCTTGCAGGAAGTAGAGGTTTGTATATATATCTTCTGTATTTTGCATTCCTTTTTTGTATGTATGCATTGATTTCTTATGTCATGTTAAATGTAGGCTGTTTTTCCCCTTCCAGGATGATTATTTCCGCACATGGAGTCCAGGTAAACCATTTGATCAAGGTAAGAAATTATCCCATTAAAAATGTATTACTATTGTAAATGCTTTAAAATGTATAATATTCCTGTTTAAAAATAATAAATCTAAACCTCCATGAATCTGTGAAGTCTTTTTGGTGTTACTGTGGTAGATTAAAACAGGACCATAATGGGAAAGGTAGCCTTGCAATTACTATATCCACAATTATTGTACCAATTATTTTGGGAGAAAACAGGAGGGCGGTAGTAACCTATGTAAGTTGTTTAACACTTCCCATTATAAAAAAATTGTCAAGGGTTCTTTTTTATTTTTTATAATTATAACTTTTATAGAGGTCAAACACTTCCATGATTTGCAACGGAACTTGGAAGGAGGACGGGTCTAGAGTTAGTTAGATGCTTTAGCTGTCCTTGTAAAAATCCATTCAGATTTGGCTGAGATATAAGCAATTGAGAATCAATATTAGTAGTCTTAATTATGCTCAGTAGATCTTGCCAGTGGCTTGCTGCTGAATATTTTGAACATTCCACCTGCACTAAGCATGCTCCACAGCATCTTTGCAATCATGGTGAGAAAGCCAAATGGAACCCTAGGGGCAACCACTGAGAGTCAGGTTTGTGAAGATTGCTGGATAAAAATGTTCGGGGAGCTATTTTGCCATTGTTCAGACTTGGAAAATCACTTTAAAAGTTATTGACAGTTAAGCCCTCTTGATGCTTTCTGTTGTCAAAGGACTCTGACAAGCTTGTCCAGTATATTGTAGTATAGAAAGCCTTTAATGTAGAGGAGTCAGTTTTTGATAATTTGAGTGAGGTGCAGCAAATAAAACAGTCCAGCCATTAGACATTTTCTCCCCTTAAACTTCCTGTATGAAACCAAGGACTAGACAACTGCATATTCCCTTGTCCATCTAATCCAGTTCTTGTATTTTGCTCCAAAGCATGCTAGTAGGAGAGTGAGAGTGACTGTAACTTTGTTTTTTGAATTGCTAAAATAGAGCACTTCAGAGACTGGGACTTCTTTTCTGATAGCTACAATAGAATATTCATAGTGAAGAGACTTTAATGAGAGTTGCACACAAGAGGTGGATAGAAAGAGAGGAGACTTAAAGGGAAAGAGATGATATGACAACATGGAGGGATGTGCTTATTTTTTTTTAAAAAAAGCTTCTTCCATAATGTGTATTTGTGTGAGTTTGTTAATTTTAAATTAAGTTTTTGTGATAAAAATCATTTTGTAATTGAGAGTTGAAGTTGAGAGATAATCGTCTGAATTCTTTCCTAGGTATCTGACTGGTGGGTGCTCAGGGTCTAACTGATTGCCATATTAGGGGCTAGGAAGGAATTTTCTCCCAGGTCAGATTGGCAGAAACCCTGGGACTTTTTGCCTTCCTCTGCAGCATGGTGCATGGGTCACTTGCAGATTTAAACTAGTGTAAATGGTGGATTCTCTGTAACTTGAAGTTTTTTAAATCATGATTTAAGGTCTTAAGTAACTCAGCCAATGGTTATGGGTGTATTGCAGGAATGTATGGGTGAAGTTCTGTGGCCACACTATGGCCAGAAGGGACCATCCTGATCATCTAAAGTCTGAGTTTGTGAGGTGGGTGGGAGATGAGAGTTGCTATGGAATGAGGAATATATGTGAGGAAGAGAGCTATATACAATAATTGAGGTAGAATGGAGGTAGGGGTTATTGTAAGGTGTTTCTAGGAGAAAATACATATCAGACTATTTTTATTGTATGCACTTACATAAACAATAGGCATACATTATTTAACTGATAGTTACAGTAACTATGACTTTTTTGATTAAATCCCAGTAGAAATTTGATCACTGTCTAATTGTTAAATTTCATTTCTTAATTCTAAAAAAATCCCCCAAAACCATAGCAAGCTATTTTTAATATGCAGTACACATACAGTAAACTCAACAAGGCAAACTGAATTTTGACTGAGTAGGGGAAAACATCATTTCTAGATTCTGCAACTTTGCATGACAAGTTTCAGCTCAAGGTGATAGCATCTGATTGAAATATAAATTCCAAACATGATTTTGCATTAGAAATACTAAGAAAAACCTTAAGTCACTAGTGAGCATCCCTATAAAAACAACTGTTTGGTTTGTTTCATAATTATTTGTAGCAAACAGTGCCACCTGATTTTAACAGGTGGGAGAGTTGATTAGATCTGCAAGGTGCCAGACAGCTTTATAATGAAAGCGGCCTTCTGTCCATGAATGCCGTGCCACCCGTTGGGCAGGTGAAGGGAGATGATTATGGGGAACAAGGAGCCATTATTTTAAACCTTTGCCTGGGGTTTCTCAAGCCTCTTTCCCCCATTTTAGCTGTGCAGGTCTTTAATGGTGACTGTATTACACACCGAAATTAGATACATATAGGGTGAAATCCTGGCCTGACTAAAGTCAGTGTGCTTTGCAGCAGCCTGCTTATTAAGTGATGCTTCTGAGAGAGTACTGCATATATAAGCTCCCAGTGATCTGTGCTGGCTGCCCCTTGCTTTCTGGGTGGATTTAAAGTGGTGGTTTTGACCTGTAAAATGCTAAATGGCTTGAGACGTGTCTGCTTGAGAGACCATCTCTCCCATTGACACACCATCATAGTAGTGATAAATGAGGGCACTCGAGCTTGATCTCCTTTGATTTAAAAGACTGGGCTCATAATAGATTGTGTTTTCTGTGAAATGTTTTCTTTTTCATCTTTGGAAATGGCTCCCCAACTTACTCCAAAATAGCCTGAGTTCATGAGACTTCTAGGCATGCTGCAAGACATCCTTTTAATTAAGCCTTAGAGGGGGAAGAGCATGATTGGGGGCTGAAATTGTCCATTGGAGAATAGGGGAGTTGGTTTTGTTTAATAAATGAATGAATTATTGGTGACCATGTGTTTTAGAGAGAGATGTTGTGGTGATTGTTCTGTGAGTTTTGTTCATGGTTTCATCATATCATGGTTGCCTAAAACATATTTCAAATAGGCACATATATTGCATAATTTAGTCATTTAAATTTTTCCCATGGAATTTGATTTTTTTGCAATATTTGGAGACCCAACCAGTACACTCACTGAGTTTAATGGGCAGTTATTTGGGTCCTGGCTACTCATGTTCACAGAACACGTCTCTGAATTTCCAAACAGGCCCAACCCAGAGTACATTCTGGGATTATCTGTCTTGCCTTGTTTGCACTATGGCAAATTTTTGTTTCTGGAACCAGTTTTTCCTCTAAGGCAGATGAGCCTCTAGTAGTGGCCTAGTGTGTATCAACTTCAATTTGCTTTATTTGAAATAGGATTTAGATTAACAGCATTTTAAAAACAGTCCTGTTCCTAGACTGTCAAAAGTAAAGGAAACTTTTTACTTAGTTAAGTCAAGCTATCAGTTCCCTAATTCTTTGCTATAGTAAGGATCCCTAAAAAGGTATTTTCAGAACACACTGAGGCCTCGTCTACACTAAAAAGTTAGGTTGAAGGAAGCCGCCTTAATTCAACCTGTTAATGTACATGTCTACACGATCGGGTCCTTTAAGCCGAGACAATGAGCCTGGTGTGGCCACGCACTTAATTTGGAGGCTTGAGTTCGAATTAGATAAAGTCGACTTAATTTTGTAGGGTAGACAAGCACAATGCAGTGAATAGACATGTGAGTGAAGTAGAAACAATGACCATTTTCTATAGGCCATAGTCATTTCCTTGGCCTTATTGGATTAGGAATCAGCTGCACCCTTGAACCGTTAACTGCCTCCTCTATGTTGAAGCAGTTTTGTGGAGTCATCATGTGTTGAGGTTGGTCCCTCTATTTTGAAATCAAGCACATGCTTGTGGCCTAGGACAAAAGAACTTCCAGTTGTGGGAGAGCATCGAAAACAGACCAAAGGTTATCAGGATTGGACTACACTGGTGCGGTGTGAACGCTGGGATACGTTGGCTCACTTGGAAGATTTCCTGGGAGGCAGCGTGGGTTGGTGGAATCGCAGCCTTAAAGGTCAATGTAAATGCAAAGAAATGTGTTCCTTTTGGGTTGTTGCAATACCAAGGAAACTGGTTGATGTTCTTGTTTCTCCTGGGGGTAAACATAAGGAAGGACCATACCCAGACCATCACATGTGTGCCTGACTAGCCAACTGCCCCCAAGGAAGCCTGCTGTACGGAATAAGGCAGAACCAATATCATCTAGTCCCTTAAATGTAGTTTCTGATTTTTATGCTCCTAAGACCAAGGAAGCTGAAGAGCAGATCCATTTTCTTTTTAAGTAACATTTTCTTGTTTTTAACTTGAATATAGTGGCAGGGGATGACCTGCACTAATATAATTGATTTTTTTCTAACCTTTTTTTCAAGATCTGATTGTGGAGTGTGGATGTCTTAGTAGCATCAATTGGTATTAAAAAGGGCACCATTAATTCAATACCAACACAGATTCTAATGAAATCCTACCCCAACTCAGAGTGTAATTCTGGGTTCCTTAAGGTGTCAGCCTTAAATTACTCTGCCTGCAAAGGGAAACTGAGTTGCTGATCACCACTGTATTGAAAATAGATAAGCTGAGTAAAAGGGGAGCAAACTGAGTATGTCAGTCAAACAGCAGTGCTTTGAAGAGTATAGTAATATTTCAAGGGCTTAGAAACAAACTACGCCTCCTTGAGTGTTTGGGTTTGATATGTGTACAGTTTATCATATGTTGATACACCCACATCTTGAATACTGCATGCAGATGTGGTCACCCCATCTCAAAAAGAGATATTGGAATTGGAAAAGGTTTAAAAAAGGGAAATGAAAATTATTAGGGGCATGGAACAGCTTCCATACGAGGAGAGATGAATAACACTGGGACTTTTCAGCTTGGAAAAGAGACAACTAAAGTGTGTGTGGGGTGGTATGATCGAAGTCATGGAATAGAATCATAGAATATCAGGGTTGGAAGCATAGGCGTGCGCACGGGGTGTGCCTAGGCACACCCTAATGCAGGGGTGAGCAAATGACTCCACTCCCCAGCGCAGCAAGCCGCGGGG